GCCCATGTGTGTCTTCTCCAGTGGACTCTGGCCTATCACTGAAGTGTTTCCTGAGATCCACTGTATATTTTTGTATCTCTCCCTCCATCTATTAACCTCTCACTGTCATAATGGCTCAGTCAGTCCCACATGACCATCAACATCCCTTTTCCCCACTTTACCTGGACTTACACTGTACACAGTTACTTCTGTTTGGATGTGGTACAGTTATGGACACCTGCATCCTTTCTGAGGTCTAGTCTCCAGAGGAGCAATCTCTTTATATCTATGTCCTCATGATGTTGGCTGGCTAACGAGTGTGCCATAATTTTTTTTTTTCTCTCATCTGTCTGGTCATGCTGCTATGATCTATTCAGGAAACTCCAATGTTGTTTCTTAAATCAATCAACATGGAGACACTCACTCTCAGGACCTTTGCTTTCTGATTCTCGACTTTCTCTTTTGGGCCCATGACCACCACATTCAGTTGACAGCCATTCATGTCCTTGGAGCTTTGAACTTGGGTGCTTTGCTCTCCCAAGTTGTGCACTGTGGACTTCTTTTGCAGAAAACTGTTGGATCACACAGATGCTTTCTCGTTAGCTTTCCCTGTTTTCACACGCTCAATCTTCTCTTTTCACCACCACTCCCTAAGATTCCTTGCATCTTTGGCACCTGGAGAAGGCTGGAAAAAGTCAAGAATCAGAAAGTGGAGGTCCTGAAAATGTGTCTCCATTTTTGATTGATTTAAGTAACAACAGTGGTCCCCTGCCCAGGACTCTGCAGCTATGGCTATGGGTGTTCTAGGTCAGGATTGGGTCAATCTCCTTATTGTGTGTCAATGACCTTCTTTCTTTTCTTTCTCTGGTTCTTACAGAACTTTCTCCTCAACCTTCCTCCTCCTAACCTGTTTCCTTTTCTGGACTTGAGCCTCTGTTTAGTTTGTAGGACTCCTATGTGTTCCCTGTTCAAACCTTTATACCATCTTTCACCTTTAAAGACATATTTTCTTCTCCGTCTCATTTGTGGAAGACTTCACTCTGACATTTTTGCCTTGGATGCCTCCTGCACTCTGTATTATAGGAGCAGGTTGATTCTATTTTCAGACTGCTTCTTACTCCTCAAAACTTGGACTGCCCAGGAAGATGATTGGATGTTTTCTCCCATTACTCTCTATTACATTACATTTATTCTCTGTATGAATGTTCCAATCCTGATAGTATTCTTTTCCTGTTCATGCAGTTCTTTGTTATTTCACTTGTACTGCTCTCTTTAGAGATAGTTGACACTGTATTTTCTTTCCCTGAAGTACAATCTCTAAGGTAAAATATATATATATATATATACAACTACTACTAAGGCATTCTTGCAGAAAATTGGATCTCAATATTGGGCACTAATGGGTTTCAAATTGCCTTTCATCCCCTACCTGATGTGGATTTTGGGAAAGAAAAGTATTCCCTGTGAAGCAACACTGGTCATGTGGTGATTTCCATTGCTTCCAGTATATATTGTAATAATTTGGTTGTTGGAATTGCAATAAAAAGAAATAATCTACAACTCATCTTTTTAGAGTCCCTCTGAAGATTGTAAAATTGCAAACTGGAGGGAAACAAAGACCAAAGGTAGAGAAAACCAATATGGTTTAAGTAATGTGAAGCAAAGGTGTTGGGATCATTCACATCCTCACCCATAAGATCTCATCTAGGGAATGTTGATGGCTAAAGAAAAGATAAGCTGTGAGATGACAAACTTGATGGGAGGTGATATGAAAAGACAAAAAAGTGCCACCACCCCTAATAAGAATAAACTAGCTGAATTACTTGTTTATCCAAACCAGTTAAAGTGAAAGGTGATAAGTCACAAACAGAAGAGGAATTTAACAGAAACAAAATGACAGCACTAGGTGTGATCCTGACCTCACATATGGCTAGCACCTGCTCTCCTTATTTGCAATAACCCTTTATGCAGTTTCTTGTGGGATCTTATACAGAAAAGATGATTCCTGTTCTGTACATGCACCTCTTTGGGATTTCCCCATCCTTCATGACTTTCTCCATCCAATTTATTCTATAAGAGTGAGAGAGAATCCTTACTTCCCCAGTCCCAAGCTACTGAGGAGGTTGATATGGAGAATTACTCTTTGGATCAGTATAGTCCCACTGTTATCCAGCTTAGTGGATGCACCCCTCAATCGGAAGTAGGGCTTGGGTGTTTACCTGGCAGTTTAATATAATCCATCCCAGAAACCAGACCATTCCCGGGGGTTTATGCCTGCTTGTTCGGTCTTATGTTCATTCCTGCATCTGCCTATTCTAGTAAGTATTTGTCATGTACTGTATGGTTTGATTTATTGCCCTAGCCATGCAACACTTACATGATCTGTCAACTTTCTGAGATATACAGGCCAGTTGAGCAGTCTCTACACTTTGCCCACCTATGTGACATCTTAGCACCATGGAGGAGGTTTTTTTTTTTACTTCACAATACCTTTTGCTCTACCACCTCTAAGGCATAGAGCATGCCCTGCATGAGATGATTGTGGTTTCCCACCAAATGATGCCCCACTAGATTCCCCTCCCCCATCCACCCAGTGAGTGATGCACTCCAAGACATTTCCCTTTCTGTTACTATGTTCTGAGTAAGAAGTTCATCTTCTATTTTCTTTACATACATCAATCTCTGAACCATTTTTTTCAATGTGGGATTCTAGCTCTCAGTTTTGAGGGGAGGTGAGTAGCATTTCTGAAGTTAACATTATTCTTACTTTAAAGAACCACCCACTCTTCCTCCCACTTCTGATATGTCTTTTTTACTTCATCTAGAATGAGCATTTTATATATATATATATATATACAATGTGCTCAATGGGAACACTGTATATGGAGGATGTGTCACCCTGCTGTTGACGAAGGGTTATAGTCTAATGCTGATTGCATCATACACTGGCAACAGCACACATTAATAAATATATGGGTGGGAGCATCATTCAAAATTTGTGCATGCATAAAAATTCTTTTTTTATAGTGACACTAAGTAATAGCCCTCAGATCTGTGGGGAGGTGAGTATCTATCTGAAATACATTTTAAGGTAAGGAAAATGATAACTTTTATTAAATAGGAATACTTCATAAATGATGTTATATCCTTAGAAGTAGTATGTTCTGTTTTTCAGATTTAATAATCAATTAAATTATTAAGAAAAAACATTACAAAAAACACTTGTGATTAGCAGTGTTTCAAAAATGCTTTATTTTTTACCTCGAAAAGAATTGGCCACCTAGTATTTAGTAGAAAAGCAATTGGTTGTGATGATAGTCATATTAAATCTTCCTAAACTTGTGCATCATGAATTGTATGTAAAATAGTCAATTTTGGATTAGTCCTTTTGAAGCATGTGAAAAACATATATTATTCATTTCCCATGTTTTTAATAAAAACATGATGATCTATTTGTGCAAATGTGTGACATAAAATAATATTCCCTTATTTCAAGCAAAAAAAACTCTTCATCTTATGTAGATGTATACACATACAAGCATATGTTTTATGTAGTATACAAACTTTAGAAAGAGGCTCAAAGTGTGTTATACTGTGTAAAGTCTTTTAAGAGGCTCTGATACTAAGTCCAAAGAGAGTCAGACTAATAAATTTGAAGTATTAGCTTGGTTCCTTGTATAATATATACATGTTCGATTTTTTTTATTTTTTTTTCTTAGAATTTTTTGTCTCATCTCATGAACCTTTGAATACACTAATCATAAATAGAAATATATATATATTGTACAGCATTTATTTGTTAAAACTAATATTTGAATGGTTTGGCTTTAACCCTTTCGTTTTCAAGTAGTGAATGGCTGACTACAAACTATTTTTGGTAAGATGACACTAATTTTGGATTTTTTTGTAGAATTTAAAAATCCAAAAACAATAAAATAGAGAATCACATTTTATTTCTAGTAATATACATAGAAATCTAAAAAAATCAAGTTAAGTATAAAATAAATCAGAAAAATGGCTTTTACTAACATTGCTTGACTTCCTAAAGATAGATTGACCTCTATGTCCATTATACATAATACTTAAAAGCTATGTTTTGTTATTTAGATACTCTCTTGCAGTCTATATTTTAATTTTATGTCACTGTAGTCTGCTTCTGTGTTTAAAACTCTACAGATAAAGAAAATTTGAAATACCTGTTTATTAGAAAGCTAACTTGCAGAATGTTTCAAAAATTAATATATACTACATCTGGATTATGTATTAAAGATACTAATTTTCTTTTTGAGTATTTTTTTAATTCAGTGCTTGGCTCAGTATACACAATTTTTTGTGTTCAAATTAACTGAAGGCTTGCAATGATTAAAACTGGTTTCAATACCCACGGTGGACACAGCAAAGATAACCCATTGTGTAGCTTTGTGCTAAACAACAAACCAATAATCAAATTAGCTGAGGGGAAAGACCTGGATCTTTGCTGTTAACATTTAAGGATGACTTGACTTTTTAGTTAGCTTCACTGAGAAAATTCAGCTTAAATTCTCGTTATACTCAGTAGTAGTATTTTCTTACATATATCTATAATTTGTGTATTTGATGACTAGGTCAACTCCCATTCACACAGTAAAAAAAAGATAGGGTGTTCTCTTGGTGCATTCCCAACTCAGAATGGAAATTTTCTTGTAATAATTGCTTTGTAAGTTCTCTAAAAGCTAAGAAATTAATTTATATTAACATCTACGTAATGTTATTTGTAATAGTAGATTTTATTTTTCTTCAACTAGTTTATCTTCAGTACATTGTATGGTACCACATACAGTCTTATTAGTTACTTGAGACACAGTCAGCAACGAAAGGGTTAACATAGGAAAGTTTGTGGTTATGCATGAAAAACTTATTACTGTTTAAAAAATTGCACCGTAGCTATTAACACTTGTCAAAAACATTATTAAAAAGTTGTGTAGTGTACATTTAAAGCATTGTAACTTCCTGTGCACCAACTATTAACCTCTCTCTGATAGTGGTTTCCCTTCCTAATGGCACTGATACTGGTGGCCACACGGAGTTCATAGGCCCCTCTACTTCTGACCGCACCTATTTAGATCTGAAACCACAAGGTCTGTCTTTTTTCACTGTGTCTGTGTCCTTAAACAGTGTTGTTTCTGTTTCTGTTGATTCATACACCTCTTAACAATTTCTTTCTCTCTGTAGAGATTTTATGTTTGTAGTAGTTTCTCTGTTTGTGTGTTCATATTTATGTCATTTATCTTTGTTACATTTTCATTTTTTACGGCTGTTCCTTGGAATTAATTTCAGTATGTTTATTAAATTAAGGTCTCATTTTAATTATCATGATACTGAAAGATATATTTTGAAGTTGAAATTCACTCCCTAGAAAAAATTATATTTGTCTTGGTATTTTTTCAAATAGCCTGAATAAAAGAAGTTTCTTGGCTATATACATTACATAGAAATATATTTTATTAAACAGTTATTATGTCATAATTTTGACCATTTAAATGGAATTTTTTGTCAGTTGCATTTATTTAATTTTTAAACAAATCAGATGAAATAAACAAAAACAAACTATTTCACTTTCAAGTTAACAAGTACTATATACACAATCCAATTATTTGTAAATAGCTACTTTATTCTGATTTTTAAGATTTTATTCTAGAATTTTTTATGAATCTTGCTATTTTTTTTATTTCACTATGCATATAATTAATATACTAGTTTACTCTTTGCAATTATATTGGGCAAAATGTTTTTTGTTTTTTTTAATGAAACAAAATGTATTGAAAAACAAAATCAGATAAATTCCAATATTTGTTTGTTTTTAAAAAAGATTTCTAGAATTATCAAGATTATTATATAAAATAATTCTGGATTTCTAATTGGATTTATCACCTACTAATGGGATGAGTTCTGTACAAATTTGCAAAAATGTAAGCTGAAGTCTTGCATTGAAAGTCACAGTAGATTTTACTTGCTGTATACTGTATACGGTTTTCAATTTGCATTAAAAAGTTGGGCGTAAGATTGCTGTTCAATCAGCTCCAAACAACTTTTTGGTGGTATGTTAATTCCAACTTCAAGACATACTATTTTCCCAATGAGATTCAGTTGTAATTGTAAATAACTTGAGGTTCCAAGAAAATGTAGTACAGAATTAAACTGAAATTCTCTAATTCTGAGTGAGTTTGAAGCAGAGAAGAGACTAAACACAATGTAAACAAAGTGAAAGGTAGTTTTAGATTTATCAAACAAAAAACAATCAAAGTAAAATAGTGCACTTAATTGTAATAATTTCACTTAAGATTAGCCGATTATGCATGGGGTTGGTCCATTGGCCCAACCTGTATAGGAGAAGGAATGTTGACTATAATTCTGATTTTATTACTACGTGTATCTACATGGAATGTGGCAGGCTTTAAGTAAAACGTACAGATCTGTTGTACAAAAAAAAAATCAAGTGTGTTACAAAAATATTTGTACTCAAGATATTTTTGCGAAATGATGATGTCAGCTGGACTTACTCTGACAAGTTGGAGTTCAAGGTGATGTTAGTGTAAAAAACTAAAAATACTTTTGTCCCTTGTATAGTGCATTTTTATAATCTCAAGAACCTCCAAAATGCATATCTAGTCTTTTTCAGTATCCATGTATATTGTATTTGGTATTTACTCTCCTATACCATGAACTGTTACTAAATCAGCAATGTAGGGTAAAATATATATTGTTGATAACACTGTCATCAAATACGTAATACCATGTTGAATGACACTGTAAACGATCATAGCATGCATGCTTTGACTCCTACCTGTGCACAATGGGTTAGGACTGTCACCCTTTAATTAAACTTCTTTCAGATACAAGTTTAGTACAGTTCAGGAAGACTTTTAAACAATGCTGCACAGGTGTCTCTGTCTTTAGTAGGCTATAAGTTCACATTATACATTAACTTGCATTTTAACTGCACCTTTGTACTGAAACAAATGCTAAGTAAAACTGCATGCCTGCAAGGTATTTCAATTTGCACAATTGAAAATATTAAATCATAATGAAAAAATAACATTAAATACATCAAGTTTATCTACTGTAAGATACATAAGCTGCTGTCAATGGATTTCACTGTCTACAGATAATAAATGTTTTAACCTCGAATACAATTTAGTCAAAAATTATTTGTGGTTTGTGGTGCTTGAGTTTAAATCCGATTGAGCCTTTGTTTCATTCTTTTTATTTTAAGCTTTAGAATTGTGTTACCTTGAAAAATACTGTTTTGGGAAAAATGATAATATTAAAAATCTACTTATAAGTGCTACATTCTAAATAATTGCAACAAATGAAGTTAAAGTTCTATAACCTCATGAATCTTGTCTGTCACCATCCTGTCACAAACAGTTAAATAAATTCTTAGGTTGATGGCATTTCAGACTTATTTACAACAAACTTAATTATAATTCAAATTCAATGACGAGGAACCCACTTTGATACTAATAATGGCTGGAGACAGCTTGAATGGGTAATGAAGAAAAACTTTAATATAAGTTTCACATAACAGCAAATGTACAACGTTTCAACAAGGTTTTGTCATCATCAGGTACAAGTAATTTACACTGACATGGATATATGTATACAGTATTGAACAAAGAAGTCACATGACCGGAACTGTTGTGAAACTTAGAAGAAGTATCTAGACACCCCAGGGTGTTGGTTTAGAGTAGCATTGTTTTGTTCAATTAAAATGAATTCCTTGATTTTTCGTTTGGAAACCAGATTGACAGAACACAATAAAAAACCGTCCCATGTTTTTCACCATTGCAACTCAAAAACCATAGTATATCTATTAAAATCAGTCAATTTAGACAAAGAATCCAACATAAACAAACGAAAAATCAAGGAATCCATCTTAATAGTACAAAACAACCCTACTCGAAACCAACACCCCGGGGTGCCTAGATACCTCTTCTAAGTTTCACAACAGTT